TTAACTGACGGCTTATATGATATATTGCAGATCATGACAGATAATAATAATAATAATAATAACAAAGTATTTATATCCCGCTCATATTAGCAACTAGTGACCAAGAATGGTACTAGCTAATAATGTCAGAGCGGCTGTCCAAAAGATAAAACTATAATAATTTAGAATTCTCCAACAAAAAATTCTCATTTTCCTTTAAACTGCTTATTAGTAACACTAACGTCTAAAAACTATAATATACGACAGACATGGTGGTACAATCAGACATCAGATGGAATATACTATAAGAGAAAAATAATAATCTCGACACATAATGGTTACCTTTATTTATTCAAAAGAATTTAATTAATTGAACTTCATTATACACTCTTCTTTATTTGTAGATCAAAACAACAAACACAAACTGTGGCCTGCATCCCCGTCAATACCACACAATCATTTAATGAGTTGCTCAAGGTAGTAGACCAGGCCGACGGATCCCCAGTCCGATTTCCCTGAGTATTGTCGCACCCAATTAAGGGAACTCGCACACTACATCACCCTGTACCCAACAGCTTGCAAGCAAGCTGCCGTTCACCCACCGGTTCACTGAGGTACAGGTAGATTGCCGAAGCATGTGCTACCAACTCTGCAATCATGTGGTACCGGCCAAGGATACAGGTTATAAAAAATAGAAAATAAAAACAAGCCAGGGCATGGCAAATGGCAGTCTAGTCTCTCCGGACTCCGTGTAACTATACACAAAACTCATGGCAGTTAAAAAATCCCATGGAATAATCTACAAACTAAGGCCAGGTTCTAGGAACTTTTTAAAAAAGAACACAAATATAAATACGACTAGGTATGTTCTAAATGATTGAAAAAATGGGTTTTTAAAGCCCGTTTAAAAGTATCAATGTTGTTGGCCTTTCTTACCGTATACGGTAGCAAGTTCCAGAGTTTTGGGGCTGCGTTGCTAAACCTCCTATCACCTAGCCTGATTTTACTGGGTCTACTAACCCTAAACCTTAAGTCATCACCAGACAGTTGCCGTGTTTTAGAATATGCTGCCTGGGAGTCAATCTGAAGAAGATCAGACAGATATGGTGGTGCTTGGTTGTACATAACCTTATACGCCAGAAGACAAATCTTGAAACTTATTCGTTCTTCAATGGGGAGAATGTGTGCTTTTTTGTAGTATTCAAGAAGATCTACATCACGGTCATCGATGTTATAAATGAATCGTATTCCAGCATTCAGTACAGATTTGAGCTTTTTCAGTGACTTCATCGGTAGGCAAACATACAGTGCATTACAGTAGTCAAGCTTTGATATAACCAGTTGCTTCACTAGCATAACTTTTAAACTTTCATCAAGATAACATCGTATTCTCTTCAGATTAGTTAATGCCCACATTGACTTCTGTTTAACACTGTTTAGCTGTCTTTCCATGGTAAGAGCTGGGTCTAGTTTGACTCCTAAACTCTTCCAATTGTCACCGACACATTCTGTTGGCATCACTTCCGTACTCCCAAAATTAACAGAAATTTGATGCTGTCCAAATTCTCTAAGAACCAAAGGCTTCCCAATGACTAGTAGCTCTGTTTTTGACTCATTAAGTTTCATATAATTTTCAAGCATCCAGGCCCTTATTTCGTCAAGGCAGGCATTGATCTTAATTTTCATTTCACTTATTTCTCCAGGTATTAGGGGTTCAAAAGAAATGTAGAGCTGCGAGTCATCTGCATATAGCTGAATACGAATCCCATATTTAGCAGCTATCTTCTGAAGTTGTTTAATGTACAGGATGAACAGAATCGGTCCAAGCAAAGATCCCTGAGGCACTCCAAAAAGAAGACACATTACATCAGATAGCTCCTGACCAACTTTGACATTGAACGATCTTGCATGAAGATAATCCTCAAACCAGCTGTTAGCTTTACCTGAGATTCCAAAATCAGCTAAGAGTTTTCTGATAAGTATCTTATGATCTATTGTGTCGAAAGCTGCTGAAAGGTCTAGCAGGACCAGTGTCACAATTCTACCCTGCTCGATTTCCCCAAGAATGTCATCAGTCATTTTCACTAATAAAGTCTCACAGCTATGTTTTGGTCTATAACCAGACTGAACTGGACAATGAAGATTTTCTGCATCCAAGTATTCATTGAGTTGACTGAGTATGTACTTTTCAAGGATCTTGGACATAACCGGGAGATTTGAAACTGGTCTATAGTTTTTTAGACAGTCAGGATCTGCTCCATCCTTTTTGAGGGTGGGTCTGACCACTGCTCTCTTAAGATCTGATGGAAACTTAGCAGTTTCAATGGAAAGGTTGACGATGTAGCAGAGAAATGGTGCTAGTTCTTTAATGCAGTGTTTCAGGAGAAACATGGGTATTGGATCTAAGTCACAGAACTTATTTGACATACTTTTCACCAGGGTTTCCATCTCGGACACTTCTACTGCTTTAAAAGTCTCTAACTTTGACTCTTTTTTTATCACCTCTTGGGTTTTCCTGGGGTTCGGCCGGTTCATCACGAAGGTTTTCAATTGAGGACCGAATGTTTTCCACTTTTCCAGAAAAGAAAGCTTTGAGATCATCTGCAACTTCCTTGGGATTTCCAGATGGCATACTTGTCTGAGAATTACCCAACAAGCGATTGACTTTCTTGTAAAGGGATTTAATATCACCTGATGAAGCTGTGATAGAATTTCTATAGTATCCCTTTCTTTTTTCAAACTCCATACCCTGAAATTTATCCCGAAGTCCTACGTACGCTGATTTAAGTCCTTTTCCAGACCTCCAAGCTCTCTCTGCTCTTCTTCTCTTTCTTCTCACTTCTCTCAGCTCTTCATCAATCCAGGGCATTTCATTAGCTTTCACTTTCCTGTCCACTTCTGGGCAGTGGGTTTCCATAAGGCTCGAAAGAACCTCATTGTACTGTGTAACAGCTTCGTCTAGTGACCAGTCAAAGTTTCCTTGGCACAGAGATGAGTTCTTCAAACTTTCTCTAAAAATGTTTTTGTCAAGATCTTTAAAATTTCGGTAGTTAACCTTTTTCCAAATCGTCTTGGGTTTCTTACAGCAGTGATACCCTAAATCAAAATGAACCAGAAAGTGGTCGGAGGATGTTCCTGATTTGGTCACAGAAACTGGGCCCATTCTGGACCTAAGGTTTTCTGTAGAGAGTATAAGGTCAATTGTACCACCTTGTTCATGCGTTGGTACAATAGGCATGATTTGATAAAGGTCATTAGATTAACAAAAAATAAGCAAACATTTAGAATAAATCCTGGGTTGGTCCTGGGACTAAGTCGATCAGGGTTCCGGTCGAACCTTGGTTCCCATTACAAGTTAAACCCATCAACTTCAAAAACAGACATTAGAATTGCAGATTTTTTGACTTAACGTTACACAAGGTAATCACGCTGTTTACCTATCGTCATACGCTGCACAGTACATAAACACACCCCCATATCGTCCAAGGGTATAAGTGTAAATGACGATATGCAGTACGTATATATCTTACCGGTACCCAATGCCTAAACCTAACCTCTCCCTCAACTTCCAAGCGATCATTATGCCGTAACCGTGCGTCACGACCAAGTGTTCGTAGACTGATGATCAAGTTACTCTAATGCTATTTTCTTGTCATGTCACAAACCAAGCCATATTCATTATAATCACTCAATGTCAATAATGGCACTGTTTCGATAGATCCACCTGAGCAAATTTTATCATATATTGGCATCAATGGCACATCAAAATGGTGCCATTGGGCCGGGCATCAGCAACTATCGAACCATAAAATTCATTGACTTTGTATTTAAAAATTTTTAGCCACACATTATAGATCCACTGAAATTGATCCAATCACAGTTCGAGTCAAATAAAACGATTGTTCAAATGCTCGATTATCTTCTGACGCTTACGCCTGCTAAGCTAGTAGTATAGCTTCGTTTTAAATCGTTAGGTATTCTATTTTAAACTCATCCTGTGCTGCACTATGTCACATAAAATTTCAAATCGATTTGGCTAAACGATTAAAATTCACTCATAAGTGAGTGCTACACGTCGCGTCGTGAAGTCTTTAAATTTTAATTTCGAGTCATCATTATAATCAGCTAAAATAAGTAACTCCGCATTCTGTATCTAAAATCACGTGATAATGATAAGACTACAAAAGTTGACTCAACAACTTGTATTATATAGTTGCTAACAATTTTACATTTCCTTACGTGAATTGCTCTTTAGAAAATCTGCAACGCTAATGACAACCTCCCACCAATCTCATTACAGGTGAGAAGAGTGTTTACAAACAATTTACTTTTACCCCACCTTAATTTTAAACCCTAACAAAACCAGCTGAAGATCATGTCAGATCATCCTCTAACTCGGCTGATCCGGCGAGCTACAGCCCCGGCACTGCACTGCAGACCAGTCCCCGGGCAGAATGGCAGGGTCCTGGAGAGGAAGCGGACTGTTCTGGACTCTCTGATCGCTAGACTTGACGTCCACCACGAGTATGTATTACTGTTAGTCTTAACTAAACGATCTATACGTTGTGTAACTATACTGTGCACCACATGACCATGTAATACATTGTATATGTATTATATACAATGTATTACATGGCCATGTAATACATTGATGTATCGTATATGTTTATATAGTGTACACCTCGGATCACATTATCACTCACTGATAGTGATAATATTCATAGGCGTTTAACAGACCATACTGATACAGAATTCAGATGTTGAGATGCAGTATAATAGCATTACTATTTAGTTATATAAATTCGATATTGGTGTGAATGACGAGCGGTGGAAATTATAAATTGATACTGAAAAAAAAACCTTTCGCTGCAGATCTTGGCAACATAATATATAATTAGTAAAAATAAGTAGAAGGCTATAATCTGAGGTTCACAAACTGATCAGATTGTGCATTGGAGATTTTAACCAATTTTAGCGGTTTATAAATCTTCTCATCAAAACCAAAGAAAGATAAAGTTTACCTGGCACATGAAGCAGAGCTCTTCAAAACAGAACAAAAGTTTCGGAACATTTTCAGGAATGAACTAGCTAACCTTGATTCGGGGAAATATGCACTTGAAGAATGAAAGAATTGGTCGGGAATTTGTGTGGTCTCTGAAGTATACGAAATAAGGACAGCCTAAACAAATTTAATTCGCCAAGAATGTCGACCAGAAGGATTTGTTCCTGGCGTTGACGGAAATTATAAAGCCGATAATTGATAAAACCTCAAACGTCTGGTGACCTGAGTTACCATGGCTACCTCCATTGACCGCTCTGATCTCATTCCCATCCATGCCCTTTGATCATAGATATAGCTGCTTAAATTTAACTCGACAACAAAAATTTAACAGTTAGCCGCAAGGAAATTTTGACAAAAATCCGCGGTTTCAAAGCGTGGTAACTATTGAGAGAGATACATCCTGACTCTGCATGATTAATTCATCTTAGCTTCTTTGTATGAAATAATTAGAGACCTCTGCCACAAAATAGCCAAACTCAATTCCAACTAATTATAAAACCACCAATACCAAACCCGTGGCCTCAACTTGTCTGGTTTGTGATTCTACAATATATAATGTGAATTCAAATTCCAAAAAATGTACTATATCTGTTCACAAAGAAAAATTAACGACAATCTGAGAAATGAGCGGTCAGATTTCATTCTACTTTCACCGCATTCCAAGTCTTAAGTATTCAGCTGTCAGCTCAATTCAATTATGGTTTTAATCAGCTAAATGTCCTTATAAATGACTTCCCTTTATCTTCTTACTAATGAGATTACAACTTGACTGAAATCTGGTGATTTGTGGCCGGTGGAGCTGCTGTCAAATCTGATATCGCCGAACAAATTGGTGTCAAACATCTTATCGCAGACGGTTGTCTGCAGAGTACTTTATTATATATATTATCATATATATATATATTATATAATATGAGTATAACCTATAATGCATTGTACACACATGCGCGCGGCTCTCATCCACACGTGTAGCGCACACCGGTAATTTCATTTCATATGAGTAACTCTTCGTTTCGAGTGTAATACACGTACTCGTCCGTTTATTAAATCTGTTTTATCTCTTTTGCAGGAGATTTTAATCTACTATCAGCTCCTCGTTGATCATTGCGATAAGAAAGTGGCCAATTTATAACTTTTATAGTTGTATACCCAACAATGACCGGCGAACTGATAGCTACTTCAGAAGCAATGAAACTACGATCTTCTAAATAAAATGAGTCATAGTACTTTCAGCCGGAGCCATCATAAGTGACATAAATCTCAATAAATGTAATAGATTTGTAATGTTGTAATTAGTTTAAAACTTTTATAGTTAGTCTATCGTTTTTATTGTATTACTATCAGTTGTCTTCTTACATACAAAATTCCTGTTTAATACATATATTCCTGTTTAATACATATAGTAATAATCAACCTTATCGGCCCGAAATTTTTGGGATATTATAACCAACCTATTGATTTTTCGTTGCTAAAAAAATAGGATAAAAGAGGGAATTACTCACTTACAGCCTCACAATCAGAGAGTTCTGCTATATCATCTCATCAATACGTAAATCAATATAACTTATATAAAAAATATAGATTTTCCGTAACCAGCCAATTCTACGATTTAGACCACATATGTCAGACATATATTATAGTGTCTACCCAAAATCCCTTCATTCTTGAGTTCTTTACGTAAGCCATACATTATGTCTGCATAGTGAATTAGGAATTTTGAAAATTGCCGCAATTCTATGGTATTTTAATAGGTTAATTGCCTATTTTAATTAAACAACTCCCCGAACTTAATAATGATCTCAATATGTTGAGAGCCGTGTTAATATTAATATTTTTCACTCAACATGTTATCATACATGACCTTCCAGTTCCGCGCCTATTTACCTAGCCACTAACTGGTGTATTTACGGCGGCATCTGATCTAATCCACTATTCTTACGAATATTGTTTTACCATTTCGTAGACAGGGTGTCGTTACATGTCTAGGTGCTCTGCTAAAAGTACCTTAACTGAACCGCATTGAGCATTCAACAAATTACCTATGCTCTTAAACCCTACTCTAATTTAATATGAATAGACAGCAAATTATTGAACTAAATGAGTACCTACTCCTAACCACAAATCGATGCCGAAGTTTTAAAGTTTTGGCTCGCACATTGTCCTTGCAGAATCAGCCCGTTATAAGATATAACGGCCTATTACTCCAACTTTAAATATAACCCGAATCAGCGAGGATCGGTTGGAATGTGGTATTGACTTCACTCTCGCTTTCCATTTCATCTACTCTTCACATTTCTGTTGTTATGAAAAGTAAAGCAGCTCACTACCGCCAGAAAGGGCTGGATGACTACATAAACGAAACACTTGACTACATTATAATTACACTTTGTACTGCCGCTAATTGCACTTGTTCTTCCCTCTACTTTCTGTTTGGAAGGGGCTCTCCCATCGCTAAGAGAATCGACAAATCAGAGTAAGTTTTAATGAACGCGTAATCAATTCTTTTTATGATAAATACTTAGTTTCAAGGATCTCTCGAATAAAGACCATATTTGTGCCTAACATACAATCCCACACAATCTGGTACTGCATTAGTACTGTTCCGTACTCGAGCTCGATACTCAAATGTCCACACTTTGCCGGGTCAGCCTAAGATTCACAAATACGATTGTTAATGTGAATTATGTCCGCCGTGTCTATATTATGAGTATATGGGACTTAGGGAGTATATACCGTCCTACTTCTACAGTTGCAAAATATATCTGCCAGACAGTTTGAACGAAAGTTAAACAGTTTGAACGAAAGTTAAAAACTTGATTCGTTTTTAAATCCCTCTTGTAAACTTTAATCACTTCTGTAAATTTTGCATCAGCAGTATTGATTAATGATTTCCACGCCTAAACTACGCCTAACAATACAGACTTCATGATCTATGGAGTTCTAAAACCGTGCCAGTCTTCAACTTTCAACCAGTCGTTCGACAGATGAACCCACATCCGGGTTACAATAAATCTGATTATCTCATCATTATTAAATTATCTTTTGTCAATCTTTAATCTTTATGTCTAGAAGCTCGAAAATTGAAGGGACCGTTTAATTCTATCATCTTTACTTAACCGACTGTCCCGAGCTCCAAAAAGTAAACGTTGGTCGTATTATTTGCACGAGGGCTATGGATGTAAGATTCTTGTCTGAAAATAAAAACGCTCAACGAACTGTCAGCGGTGAGAATTCATTAGGCCGATGATAATCCATCAGGAGTAGAGCAGTGGCGTATAACCACAACATATCACTACTATCTAGTATCGTATATTATCCTTTATTCCTTTATTGGTCGTACATATGCAGAACTACACCAATTGGACTTGAGGTTAGCACACTAGAAGCCCAAACGTCGGGCCCATGATTTTTGTGCCGTTAGCTATTAGACTGGGAGTCTTTTAATTTAAATTGTTGTCAGTATTGTTCAATTGTTTACAAGACAGTTCTCTACCCCAGCTCTTCCACCAAATCCAGCTTCAAAACCGGCTCAGCCACATAGATGATGGCTAGCTGGCCCATGAGCTGGTTCAGGAGCTAGTTCAGGAGCTAGTTCAGGAGCTAGTTCAGGAGCTGGTCCAGGAGCTGGTCCAGGAGCTGGTCCAGGAGGTAGTTCAGGAGCTAGTTCAGGAGCTGGTGCATGAGCTGGTCAGGAGCTGGTCCAGGAGCTGGTGCATGAGCTGGTCAGGAGCTGGTTCAGGAGCTGGTTCAGGAGCTGGTTCAGGAGCTGGTCCAGGAGCTGGTCCAGGAGCTAGTCCAGGAGCTAGTTCAGAAGCTGGTCCAGGAGCTAGTTCAGGAGCTGGTCCAGGAGCTAGTTCAGAAGCTGGTCCAGGAGCTAGTCCAGGAGCTAGTCCAGGAGCTAGTTCAGAAGCTGGTCCAGGAGCTAGTTCAGGAGCTAGTTCAGGAGCTAGTTCAGGAGCTAGTTCAGGAGCTGGTCCAGGAGCTGGTCCAGGAGCTGGTCCAGGAGCTAGTTCAGGAGCTGGTTCAGGAGCTGGTCCAGGAGGTGGTCCAGGAGGTGGTCCAGGAGCTAGCTCAGGAGCTGGTCAGGAGCTAGTTCAGAAGCTGGTCCAGGAGCTAGTTCAGGAGCTGGTCCAGGAGCTAGTTCAGGAGCTGGTCCAGGAGCTAGTTCAGGAGCTGGCCCAGGAGCTAGTTCAGGAGCTGGTTCAGGAGCTGGCCCAGGAGCTAGGGTAGAACTTAGAAGTGCCTTGGGTGTCCCTTAAGTGTGCGTCAATCGTGTCCATCACCAGATTGCCGAATTGCTAAAAAACCCAGATCTACGGTTTTATCTGTAATACCCAACCCCTCATAACTGCGTAATTCTACTATTCACGTCTCTGATATCTACTTATATGGCCTGTTTTATTGAACGATTGAAACACACGTTCTGTGTTAATGAGACATTGCTGGAGAGTTTAAACTCCATAAAGGAGGTGACACTTTGTACTGACTTTGTTGGATCTGTATCTTCATGCGATTAGTTTTTAATTTCTTTAAATCTTCTTAAACGATTTAATATCAACAAAACAGGTAACCAAATGCATTTTTAGACCAGCTAATTAAGTTAATCGGATGCTAATCTCATCCGCTAATTTAGAAAACTTTACGGTTACTGCAGACAGGGATATTATCTTATCAGTTTTAAATGGTTAACTTAAGCCATGTAAAACTTATGATTTAAAGCTATTTAGGCTATAATTCAGTAGGAAAAGTTAGCTATTTATCTAGATTCAATCTAATTTTAGAGAAGACGAAAAAAGACAGTTTGGCGTTTGCTTGGATATGCTGATATGTACATTGTTCCCGCGAGGTATTTCTGCATTTTCCCCCTTATATATGCACTTCAAAAAAGGCTACCCGCTAATGGCATTGTTTCCTTGAGGAGGGTGCTGGCACTTTAACTTACAATTATTTTGGAGAAGGGCGATGCAGTACTGGTAATGTGCTTCTTGGGTAATTTTCACATAGAGAAAGGCAAGACCAGTAATATTACTAGAGTTTTTCTTCGTTTTTTTCCCCCGAAAATTTCTGGTTTATTTGTATTACGATAAACAGATAACCTCCAAGATAATTGTCGATTACGATTATCGGAGTGGATAGCTTAATCTCTCCTATGGCCTTCGTTGAATATTTTTGCGCTTTTCTCGAACACGATTTTGCTTCACTTCTTCTCGTACTCGTCATATTATGCACCTTTAAACTCCATCAAACTTAAATGACGATAAGTATGAGACTACAGAAATGTAGGATATGACATATATATTACAAAAACAACGACAGCCACATTAATTATGTAACTAATCTAAGTGAAATTATAAAACGTTCATACTACTCGTGGCTATCACAACGAAAACGTATTAAGTTAACAATAAAGGTGTTGTTGTAGCGATAATCTACAAACAAAGCATATGCCGGATGGTTGTTTAACCGAAATTCGGTCTCAGAAGGTCATGAGCTGGGTGGAGCAGGATTGCAACCCGTATACATTTTCATTATTCCAGCCAGAGACTCGGTAATGCCCCACTCGTTAGTTGCGTCCGGTAGCTCCGTTATTAAACACCCCTTTTACAACAGGTCCATCTAGGATGTTTAGTTTGATTGATTGAAGCTCGTCAACTTTTAGATGACTTATGTCATGGCTCATCATTTAAAATACTGACGGTGGATCACGTGGTTCAGTAATCTGTTGTGATAAATAGATTTCACTGGGACAGTGATTGTTCACCTATTATTTATCTGCTTCATAGGTCGGAAGCCTTACAGAAAGGGCTGTATTCGAACTTTAGTCGGTGGTCGCAAATCACAATGATATAGCGGATCTTATTACCTGGTGTTAGTCAGGGAGGTCGGGAGGGGCTGAGACAGGACTGTGATTACGGTTCACATGATCTGCCATGAGTCCCAGGGGGTCCTCCTTTACAGGACACTGGCGTCTCAACTCCTCACTCGCCGGACAGAGTCACCAGTGAGTACTTATAACAGCATTCAATGACAGGAATGTCTTTATAGGACCTAATTCTCTCCTGGCAAGATTGAACTCTCAATTTGCGTGACGTTGGAACATTTTGAATTTACAAAGTGGAAATATATGTGGTTAGAGTGCCCGGGGCAGTGTGATCTCCTGTTAAAGCTGTTATAGTTCGTGTTGTGTGGCAGTTTGACAGGAACTGTACTGGTACAGTTAGTAGGTAGTAACTATACAACGTGCCCTAAGTAGTATCAATGCAATACCAGTATCTCTTATTACTCGACTGTGGGAGAGCGAGGGGTTGTTAATAATGGCCAGCCTCCACCTTTTATGAGTTGTATGTGGATATTATTGATCGGCAGGGTCCACCTCAATTTGGTCATTTTTGGTGTGCTGGCATTTCTATCGAATTTAAAGTGGTCTGCCGTATAATATTGGGTTTACCAGCTTAGCTGATCGAATTTTTCAGTCTATGTTGTCAATATAATACTTTGTACTACGATAAGAACCACTTTTAGTATAATATACCATTACCATACAATCACGACGCGCTAATGTAATATAAACACTGTGTTTGATCAGAATCTGTATATTGTGAGATTTTACAGGGTTTCCTATTCCCAAACACTGATCACGTCAGGTCCACCTATTTTAATGGAAGCACTTCATACGTGCCTTACTTTTCACCTTATTATGCCCTTCCTCCCTTGTAAAGTGTATCGCTGCACTGTGCTACTACAATGCTAGTTCAACAGTACAACAGACTCTTGGGAATCCTTCAACAATCTCACGGGTAGGTTAGAGTCAAACAAAGTTAAGCATTTGTAGACACATATTTCTACGTATTTCTACATATTTCTAGTGTTATTTTAGATCAAAAGTATTTTTGTATTAACCATTTTCCTGGCTCTACTCTGCAATTCATCCGGAGTTGAAATCATTTTGTCTGGATTTTTGTAGCTTTAGAGTTCACAATGAGCGGTTACTAATACCAGCCTCACTGTGACTCAAGTGAGACTAAATTATTGAACTGCACGTGCTAAATCTAGCGGGTAGCTGGTTTAGTGCCCTTATAGAAGATAGAGCCGTGAAATTGTCGTGAGTGAAATTAATTGCGAGCGTCAAGACAAAAAAAGCCTTTGCAGCGCATGGATTGGAATGAAAATTAAGAAAGGTAATCTTGAAAGTTACATGGTTCACATTATCCACGGGCCCTGCATCAGGCATAGCTCCACCGTGTAGGTGCGGGTGGGTGCGCACCCACCCAAAGGATGTTGCACCCACTCAGTTTAGACTTGCACCCACCCAAACGATTTGAAAATTTTTACACCAAAATTGTCAAATTTTGTATAAATAATTTGTTTGATTACTTCCTTCTGACTTCTACTCAATTGAGACTGTTTTGAGAGATATTGAAATACGTTTAGGAGGGTAAAATTCCAAAATTTTCCAGGGGGCTTCAACCCCCCCCCCCCCCCCCCCCCTCCCGGCCGCTCCGCGCCGTGCTGCACCCACCCAAAGATTTTGAGCTGGAGCAATGCTTGCCCTGCATGAAAGCCTGAGGAGGTAATTACGCTGCATTATCGTCCCTGTAACAAACATATTCACTGCATATTGGCCGTGGTCGAAGTAATTTATGAGTTTAATCGTTGAGATATGTGTATTACTAGCCGTGATCCTGGATACGGGGAGCATATGGTTAGGTCACTGTCATCTTAGATACCATTCTGTACATTAGGTTCACTCGAGGGAGGCCCAGCTAACCTGGTACGGCTCTTTCAAGGGCCCCCACCCTCAGTGAGCCCGGTAGTGGTACTTAATAGTGGTACTGTTTGCAGTTGTTTCCGGAGTAGAGAGGAGTAGAGAGGAGTATACCAGATCTCAGTAGTTATCTAGGTATCAAGTAGCTAACGACCCTAGACTCTGGAAACACTGCACTGGCTACGAAACTACTACTATTATTTCGCGTGTTGCAGCCACTTAGCCGGGCTAAGCCAACCCCTGTTTTTATTGTCGATCCTATCCAGTACTTCAATATCTGATCTTACCACAAACCACATGTACAGCTTCGTTTTATTTTTACTGTTTTTAATGTGATAGTTTATATGATAGTTTGTACCGGACAGAGCATAACGTTTTAGTTAAGTTTTTAAAATATCATCGCCACTCACCGCTGAACCGCAAAGAAGTGGCTTGTTACACTTGCACGCGATCCTGCTCATCAGCTGAGGACGAGTATGATGATGTGTTTCTCACAGAGGAGGAGGCACAGTCTCAGACCCTGGTCTATAAGACACGGGAGAAGATGGTGTACTTCACCAGCAGCATGATCCAGATCAGCTTGCAATTGGAGGGGATCCTTGACCGCTTTCTGGATGGTCTCCGTGATAAATGCTGCAACATTGACCAGTACGTCTCCTTATAGTTGATTGTATTGATGTTAATTATAATATAATGATCATCCTGTATTCTGTAGAACTAGGAGACATGACCTGGCATTTAGTGACCCAGCTGAGTGAGTACCTAAATCGACCGGTTAATGGTTAATGGTGTTAGCTCGAGACCACTTAACCATTCAAAATGTCGCATTCTGACGGGATATTTTCACTGTAGTATAATAGGAGTATTGGATTCGTGTATAAATAGATAATATATATATATGTATATATATAGACTATTATATATATATTTACAGACAATATATAGTAGTCTTAGATAGATGTCGTAAAAATGAAATTCAGCTATCTTGTGATCAGGCGAGTCTTGTACTAAAATGTACTACTTGACCACACCCTCGCATTTCAGATGGCAAGATTCTTGAATAGTATGCCCACGTGATAGTTACATCCAAAACTAGCAGACATCACGCATTTTGTCTGTAACGGACAAACTAACTAGCGCTTAGTACGGGGTCTGGAGCTTCAAAGTGCTACTCGATAATGGTGATATAACGATATCTTTACCATCAGATGTCTGGGTAATACAGTCAACTACCTGTCCGGTCTACAGATACCATAGGTGCTAATTCCATTATGAAGGAGCACGACTCCCCACTATTATGAAGGAGCAGGACTCCTCGCCTCCGTTCTGCTGATATAAAAGCGGTCCCTGTACAATTAGACTGGATTTAGTTGATATGCCAGGTGTTACTTGTTAAGATAGTAGTATGTTGGGTGTTGTTATCGTCCTATTCATATGTTGTGTACTTGCAGTCCTGTTCATATCTTGTGTACTGCAGTCCTGTTCTGAGTTATACCACGGCCGTGAAAAGCTGGCCGCTAAAAGCTCAAAATTACAATACAATTACAATAAAATCTCGTAAGGAGTCCAATTTTTCACAGCTGTGTTTTAGAGTTATAGTTCTTAGCGCACAAGTGTGATATTATCATCATTCATATCACTCTGTTTCACCCACCCACTTTCAACTTTCACGTGCTTGTCACAGTGTTCACTAAATCATCAGGTAAGCATCTACACTATTTTTCTATGTCCGTGTCAGGCTGGAGAAATATATCCTGGTTGTATTTCTTTTGTTTGATTCTGTGTAAATGTGGAGGTTTGCGTTCTGAGCTTTCTTTTGTAATTCTCTCTGCAATCATCATCATGGCAGCTCTTTTCTCATACCAAGCTTCTGATCGTCTTTTGAGTTCGGTGTTCAAGATATTTCATATCATTAGTAAGTAAGTAAGTAAGCAGGGTTACATTTTATCAATTCACTATTATATCAAACACCTATCAGCATTTAAATACGTATTATAGATGGTTGATTACGTTGTTCATGACCTGCTAGGCCAAAGTAAGAGATTAAGATACAGATTACAAGTAGCACAGAACGATGTAATATAATGATACATATAATTATTATATACTATATATATATGTAACCGCTTTATCGTCCACTTACGATCGAGATAAGGTTCGATAGGTAGGTAGCAAAACATGTCTGATTGTTGGCAGTATTAATTTCAGGAAATAGAGGTCGACGTTTGTCGTCGCCTCTATATGAGGCGATGTGGTCCTCCCGACCTACTTATATCTGAGCTACAAGTCCTTTCAGCTGTAGTCTCTACCTAGTAATACCCGATACCTGGCTACACCAGCAGTTCCAGCATCAATCATCACACTAATCACCCAATCGTTAGTCGTTAAGCGTTTTGTTAAACGTTGTGTTACTGTTGGTAATGACACTCACTTGTCCACCAAATGCTTGGTTCGAATGGTTTTACTTTCAGGAGGTTTTCATCCCACAGACAATTTTAACTTTCTGGTTCTCTAATTCCTAAACAGCCCGGCTAGCGCAACCTTGCACTCAGGAAAATTGGTCGGAATAACCCTTTCAAAGTGGCTTCAACCACTGCAATGCCAGGGGCAGACCTCTATTTAGAGCTTTAGAGGATTAACTGCCGCACTTACACGACTCAACATTAATCAGGGTTAATCCTCTCCTCATATTATAATGGTGTGTGACGTGGCTCTGTGGCCGCTTCTATTGTCGTGTCCAACAGGAGCAAGATGGCGGAGAGAGAGCCCAGCTACAGAGCTCGTCTCGTTAATGAGAAGTCTGGCATAGCCGCCGTGTTCTGTATCAACACAGGGAGGAGAGAGAGAGAGAGGCCAGAGGGAGAGAGAGAGACGAGGTAGCACTGATCACTTCGCCTTTGTTGTTCTGTAAATAATGTGTCCTGGAGATCATCAGGGCGGGAGGCTCTAAATTGGTCACTTCTCTATTTTGATGGTTGTGGCTCTAACTTGTCCAGAACCTGATTTGTCATCGTCTCCTTCTAACCAACCCTGACTGGATGTTTGGCTTCACGGCAGTTCAGTGACTAATTCTGTGGAAAACATGGCCGTTCAGGATAGATGGTCCTTCATTCGACACTATTGTTATAAGTACAAGCTCAGGATACGGTAAGTGGTATAAGAGTTACGAAGAGAAGTTTGGTTACTAGAGTAATGATTACTGAGCGGTATTTGGAGATACCTTTAGGAGACTGCTGGGCTCAAATAAAATCTGTTCCTGAATATTTGTCGCTTAATGTTAGGGGTCTGTATCGATGGAAAACTTATATTAATGCATTGAGAGATCAGCAGATCAGGAGTAACTAAACAGATCTTAGTGCTGGTTACCCCGAAGTAGCCCGGCAATATCATATCGAACAGAGAGAGAGAGAGAGAGAGAGAGAGAGAGAGAGAGAGAGAGAGAGAGAGAGAGAGAGAGAGAGAGAGAGAGAGAGAGAGAGAGAGAGAGAGAGAGAGAGAGAGAGAGAGAGAGAGAGAGAGAGAGAGAGAGAGAGAGAGAGAGAGAGAGAGAGAGAGAGAGAGAGAGAGAGAGAGAGAGAGAGAGAGAGAGAGAGAGAGAGAGAGAGAGAGAGAGAGAGAGAGAGAGAGAGAGAGAGAGAGAGAGAGAGAGAGAGAGAGAGAGAGAGAGAGAGAGAGAGAGAGAGAGAGAGAGAGAGAGAGAGAGAGAGAGAGAGAGAGAGAGAGAGAGAGAGAGAGAGAGAGAGAGAGAGAGAGAGAGAGAGAGAGAGAGAGAGAGAGAGAGAGAGAGAGAGAGAGAGAGAGAGAGAGAGAGAGAGAGAGAGAGAGAGAGAGAGAGAGAAAATATCGCGACCTTAAATCTCCATTAAAATGTAAAAATTGCACTTTCGAGGTACTTAGAGGACCGCAACTGTGATGGAAATTACTCCTACCGTCGGGAATGATGCTTCAATTAGCAAAGACAATTTCACAGCAACCAACCTAATTCGAACGTCAACCATTCTGAGATATATCATGGTCCTGTACATATGGTCC